TATTGGAAAGGCCAAAATATAATCTATTTTAATTGTTGGGTTTTTTTAAAAGTTTGGGTTTTCTGCAAATGTTAAAATGAAGCCACTCTAAGCAGCTGAAAAATCTGTGAAGATTTGAGAACAATTTTTGTGAAGATATGACTTCGATCAAGAAAAGCCCAGGCACATCAGGAGGATTTTTAGGAAATTGTTTCTTATGTGCACTGTAAATATTGTATGTAACAGAATGACAAGGAGAAGAATGGTTGTGACCAAAATGAAAAATGAGATTGTCTTTGTAGATGATGCAAAGGGTAAGTGCTGGGGGGAAGTGAAACCTCAAACACTGCTGCTGGTGGATGGACAGGCGATGGTCACATGAACCAGGGCTGCTCGCAGTACGAAGTGCTGTGACTTTAGACACATTTCTCTGCTGTTAATACAGCAAAAGGCAGATAAATCAACAGCGTTCTGGGAAAGATAGCAGCTTTTAACCCTGGAAAAGTGTTGCCCTAGCCCCCCTACAATGTGTTTTGAAATTAAGAGACAAGTGCTGCTGTAGCAAGACAAAATAGGAGATTCAGGGGGAAAATTCAAGGTGAATGCCTTTGTAGACATCAAAAACGGTGTCTGTGGATCAACCTGCTGCAGAGGCTCTGTGTGGTGGTTCTTATGGGTGTTCCTGTGGCTTTTCAAAGAGTGCCCAAACTCACATTCTCATCCCTGTGCTGCAGATGTTGACTCAAGTACTTGTCGTTACCTTTTAGCCATGAAATACAATATTGCTCTTTGTTAAAAAAGTAGATGATACTTTTTTTAGATACGTGTTTATAAAAGCAGCTATGCTATACAGAGTTTCTATTAATTAAATGATTAACTTTCATGTCTAGAGGTGTAAATGCATGGATGAAAAGTAGTATCCTCTGTATTGCGAAGGTGTTGGAGCGAGAAACATCTGAGCAGGGACTGACAGCATTTCCTCTGATGTCTACATTATTCTGATTTCTGATGAACAATAATAACATAGTTTCATTTGTAACGATGCTGCACTCTCTGGGTTTCTCTTTGCTTACCATACTCTCTTTCTCTTTATATCTGCGCAAAACACTTCCTTGATGTTCACGGTGACAGGGCAACAGAGAGCTATGCAAATAAACATTTTACACTGAGTGAAACATTTTATTTATGCCTGAATTAACTCCCCCCCTTCAGATTTTCCTTATGATTGCTCTATAAACTGAGAAAGATACAATGCATGCACATTTTGTATTTCAAAGTTTCTTTTTTGTATGCGTAATTTGCTAGCGTCAAACCTTTGTGAAGTTTGGTAATGATATAGCATTTTGTATTTTGAAATCCATTACAATGTGTGTTGATTGAAGCTCTCCCATCAGCCCCTGCTGTTTATACTTGCCCTATGAATCTTTACTTTGATACCACTCTGAAAACCCTGGGAAAGACCCAGATCAGTTTTCAGTAAAAATGTATAATACTATGCTGGAAGCAAATACATCTGGCATTGCAGAGGAACTGAGCAGTCACTGAGCAGAAGCTTTTGAAACCAAGACGGTTATGTTTGCTTTGGGCGTGGGACGGATCTTACAGAATTTTAAATGTGTGGTCCAGAACCCAGCACACACAGCTTTATAGAGGGCTGGCATGTACAGAAATATAAGACCTTGTGGCCTTTGAAGAGTTCAGAAATCTTTAGTTTCACAGTATCAGAAGAACATGTCCTCATTGATCCGGTTTGTACTGCTTAAAAACTATTTTCAAACTTTATTTGTGCTTTATCTCCGTTGTCTGCCTATACTTGTTTAGAAATATCATAAGGTTAGAAAATTAAATATATCATGAACTACATTAATATGTATAAAATGCTAAACATTTGGTTTACATTATTGCATATTTTTCATATGTTTCTTTTGCAAGATTTAAGAGGCTTGTTTTATAAGCTTGTTTTAACCTGCCTGGACGCCTTCCTGTGTAACCTCATCTAGGTGTTCCTGCTCCGGCAGGGGGATTGGAGTAGATGATCTTTTGAGGTCCCTTCCAATCCCTAACGTTCTGTGATTCTGTGATTCTGTGAGACTAAAAGTCTCAGGATGCATCTACACCAACATTTTAGACTGGGATCCCACTCCTGAAGCAGTTGCCCCCACTTGCTAGGCAGTAGCTCATGTTGTGGAGCAGAGCTGGAGTGCAAGAACAGGACTGCTTTAGGACGATGTGGTGCAAGGCTTAGCTTTAAATAAACCTTTCAACTTTGCCCGTGCTGAATGTTCAGCTCTTGGGGCTATACTGGAGTGAACGGGGCAATATCCCCCCTTGAAGCAGGTATGGGCTTCAACACCAACTGCTGGGGCTATTTGCTAATGTAGACCAAGCGAAGTCCTGTGACGACCATGGGCTTTCGTCTCCATGAAGGAAAAACCAGAACAACAGTGCTTCATGATAAGATTAGGGTTCTTCTCTTTGTTTGGTGCCACCGTGTGTGTTATCTCACATACTGTATCTGCGTGATTTCACATGACACGGAGTGGATTTCTGTGGGATTATGGAGCACCTGCACATTGGTATTACTGACCCCTTGTTACAGTCACGAGCAAATGCTAACCTTGAGCTTACCAGCACAGCCTGACAGATGGCTTAAGTTACAGCTGTTCACATGCTTTAAACTGCAGAAAAAAATCCGAGTAAAATGCTTTTCCCTGAGTTTACACTGGTACTGGGCAAGCTGCAGTCTCTAAAGATATCTTCAGCTTTCTTACAGCAATAGGGAAAGGGATTTTTGGCTGACAACTTGGATCAGATTACCTTATGTCCTCCACTTTAGCTGTTTGTTCTGTAGCAGCAGAACTATTCAAGAGCAAAAAGGTTAGCACTTATGTCGCTAAATACCTGATCTTGCAGATACAGCAGGTAATTAAACACTGGATATCCTGATGTCTCGAGTGAGTGTGCAAACACTAAGCTTGCCCATGAGTGGACAGAAATTTCCTATGAATTGTTTTGCTATAAAATAAGAGTCATCCATATATCCACAATTATACATAAATAAATACAAATCTTCTTGGTATTTCAAAACAACTGGTGTGTAACACACGCAGAGCTGAGAATTTTCAAAAAACTCCCAATGGGTGTTTTCAGAAACTGAAATTAACTGTTAAAGATATTTATTTCTAAGGGAAGATACTGGCCGAAGGTGCCCCCCAGTGCCTTCAAACGAGTAGGGAAATGCTGAAATGTTGATACACAAGATGAGGAAACTGTATTCTCTGCCTCTGTGGGTTGGCAATGCCTGGTCAGTGCCTATTGATTTTCTGTATGATTCCTTTTATTTTTAATTCAAGAGAAGATGAGAAGCGGAGCAATGAGATCTCACGTTGCTTTTAAACTGGTATCACAGTTTGCTGCATCACTGCTGAAATTTCATGGGCACCCAAGATTTGTAGACAATAGGTGACATAATTTGCAGCAAAGGAAGGAGAGGAGGGGACACTCCTCATGTTTAGAAGAAAACATTCAGCCTATGGATAGTACAGTACATCTGTCATTACATGGTGCTTCCTCAACAGCAGGATGGGAGTTTAAATGAAGGCGACATGGGAAGTCAAGACCTGCCATGTGGGAGTGCTTGTGGCCTTGGTTTGTTGTTATAGTCAGTTAGGATTATGATCATTATCGGTATTGTTACAAGTACAAGTCTTAATATGGATCCAGACCAATCTGGCCAGTTGTCCTACCTGCAGGGGTAGAGTGTGAAAGGCACCAACGCATTGAAACCGTTGTCTGCAAGTGGGAACCTCTGCTACTTGAACTGTTCACTTGGATGACCTTTTCATTCCTAGAGATGAAGGTAAAAGGGAGATGTAGGTAGTATAGGGTGTTACAATCTGCTGTAGCTTCCCCAGCTGTGTTTCAGTCAGTGCTGGTTTACTTGAGCCTGTGTATGCACTGAGCTCTTATTTTAGGTTTTACATTGTTCTTCAAAGAACTGGCTTTAAAGATTAATTAGGGCAGGGGGGGAGTGAGAGTGTGTGCCCGCGAGGGAAAATGCGACTCTGAACCTAGCATTAGAGCACTGACCTGAAAGGAGGGAGAGAGGAAGGAAGGAGATGCTTGAAAAGCCTTCATAGTGGATTCTTTGAAGAGTAAGTATAATTACTATCCTCTGAGGGAGGAATATAGAGATAATGTTGTATATGTGCTTGCTGAAGTTCTGGGTAATTACATCATGGGATTAGCAGTCAGGTTCCAGTCATGTAGATGCTAACAGCTGTATCTCATCTGATTTAGCATGGATGCACATCCTGAGAGAAGGATCATCCTTCTAAATTGTATTGGAGAAGAAATACTTGTGTGGTGATTTGCCACCACTGCTACACACATCGGCTATTTTAGACCGCTGTAATAGGCCTGTTTGAACAAGGAGATTCATTGCTGAAGGTCACAGTAGCAGCCATGGAGCTGGGACTGCACAAGTCATCAGCCTTATGTGAGAGGGGGATCTGAATCAAACGGAGCTCGCTTTTAGACTGGCATATGCAACACCAAGTGGGGAGATACAGGCGTTGCTAACTCCAGCTGCAGTTCTCATCATTTGAACTGGATTTTTTTCTTACATCTTCCAAAACAGCCTTTTCTCTAAAACATACAGAAATAAGTTGTCACTACAGTGGTTATATTTATCTTATATCTATTCTGAAGCGCACAGAAGTATCAGAAAGATGTAAAGGATTTTGGAGTGGGGGAGCTTGGGGAAAAAAGATGATAAATCTGTAAATGTTGAAATGGTAAATAACTATCTTGAAATATTTACTTCATCTGTGGATTGAGACACAAAGTAATTTCTTTCCTTTGCAGCAGAAAAGAGCTTTCAGCATATGTTCTCCCTGTGAACTATTGTGTATGTGAAGAAAGCGTGGTTTTGCTGCATTGTCCAGATGATTGCATGGGAAACAGTTTGCTTTATGGTATAATGTTTTTTGTTTAATATATTTTTTATTCCAACAGGAAATATGGGATGTATAAAATCAAAAAGGAAAGAGAATCTGCATGGAGATGGGCTAGATTTGAAGAATCAACCAGTACGTAAAACTGAACGAACTATTTATGTGAGGGATCCAACGTCCAATAAACAGCAAAGGCCAGTAAGTAGATAGTCTCAGGGGAGAATTCCAGTAGCAAGATCAAAGCATGACTGGAATAACTTAAATTTCAATCCAAAACACATGCATGAAAGAATTCGGATTGATCATTAGTCCACTTCTAGTGTTGTGCAGTTTATCCTCAATGAATAAGTACTTAAAGAAATAAAATTAGAAATTGATGCTTTGTTGCTTAATTACTTTATGTTTGTCATAGTTTTTGGCATGAAAACAGTAATCCTTGGTGATGATTGATCTAGATATAACTGTATCTACAGGAGAATGCTAGGTAGCTTCAGAAAACCTGAAGCAGCTCAGAACCATTTATAAATGGATGGGTGTTGGGTTTTTCATAGCTATGGGATCCAGGTGTTGATTATTCTGTTTTAAAAGGCTGAGGTAATCACAGGGGATTCTTTACCAGTCTTTTACTCACTGAAGGCCACTATTTGACCTTGCACGAGGGGTGTAGGTAAGGACGGGAGGGGAGGGCACAGTGGAGAGGTGAGCGGTGCTGTGCTGCAGGAGGAGCAACCTGATGGCAGTTCCACCTATGCATTGGAAGAGAAAGGTGCTGGGAAGGGGCATACTGTTGGGTGCCAAGTGAGTCTGCTATTTCACAGGTTGACTGGTACCTTTTCGCCCCTGCCTTCTCTCAACTGTGCTGAGGAAGCCACATTTATTGACTTCTTCCCTTGTTCAGGGCCTGTGCTCCCTGTAGGTGTGAAGGACACCCTTCCCTCCCCTCCCCTCTTGCTAGTGGACTTGGTGTGCTCTCAGTCAATGTATATACATCACAAACTACTGTTACTCTTTTTTAAAATTACTCTTTTTTTAACTCTTGCACACTCTGAGCAACATGACCGTGCTTGTAGCCCTTTAGCATGACAGCTACGTGTTAATAACTGTCCTGTTAAAGTGCCCTGTGTAAAGCCTCTCCAGCAGAAGTCACAAAGCTGTGAGCTTCCTCCCCACAGCCTGTGTCACACCTTCCCAAGGTCTGAGCTGCTCAATTCAATATCTCATGGGGACTTACTTACATTTTTTATGTTGTAGTTTGCTTCTGATGAATGATGGGGAAAGACTGGAGCATTTCCTTTTAATTTAAGACCTATGAGATGATACTAAAGCAACTGAATAATACATAATTGTAATGTAAGATTGACACAAAGATCTAAAGCTGCTTAATTAAAGATATATTTTGTTGTAGGCAAATCCAGAAGCACAGCTCTTACCAGGACAGAGGTTTGTCAATGAAGGTACGTTTTTGTAGGAATCTTACTGCTGTGTAAGCCCATGCCCATGTCAGCCTCCAAAATAATTCAAATCTGCCATTGGCTTTCTATCTTTGTAGAAACAGAGGAGCATGGAGTCATTGTGGTAGCTTTGTATCCCTATGATGGCATTCATGAAGATGACTTGTCCTTCAAAAAAGGAGAAAAATTGAAAGTCATTGAGGAGTGAGTATGGCAGTAGTGATTGTCTTGTTTTTCTTTCTGCTCATCTAATTATATTTGTATTTTTTTTAATATCCTACTCACAAAATTAGTATATTAATGGTAAGAGAGCTCCTTTTTATGTGAAAATACAAATGCACATGTACTTGGCAGCTGCCCTCAGTAACAGCAACCAAACATTGATCTGTTGGAGCCTATGGCTTCTCAGGGGCCTTGGGTTCAGAGGAAAGATGATGCTTCTGTCTCCAGCACAGTGGAACCCAAATAACATTTTACAATTTTCCTTTCCTATGAATACTACCATTGTTTCTGTTTTTCAGGCTGGGAGAATGGTGGAGAGCAAAATCTCTCACAACAAGGAAGGAAGGCTTCATTCCCAGCAACTATGTAGCAAAAGTAAACACCCTGGAAACAGAAGAGTAAGTACCTCTAGGCACTAAATACTGGCATACAACTCCACCACCGTGGTGGTGTATCTTTTGTGGGTGGGGAAGAGAATTTGTTCTAACTCTTTGAAATATTTTTCAGATGGTTCTTCAAAGACATAACCCGAAAAGATGCCGAAAGACAACTCCTGGCTCCTGGAAATAGTCCTGGTGCTTTCCTTATCAGGGAAAGTGAAACATTAAAAGGTAGGCATTGAGGTGGGTTGCTTTGGAATTGATGGTTGAGTTAAAAAACATACAGTCTGTCTTCACAAAAACTGGCATCAAGTGGCACTGAGTGTGTAGTCGTCCTAGTGTGTCCTATTTTTGTGAATTTTCTGCAGTTCTGAAGGAGTGAGAAGGCTGAGAAAATCACCAGGAAAAGAGAAAGGAGAGTTACAGGTTAACAGCCAAAGTTGAGGCAAAAAAATTCCAAACCAAAATCTGTGTGTATGTGTGTGTGATTACACTGACAAGAAGCAGGAGTGAGATACCTTTTTCCTTCCTAACAGTTGTGATTCCTTTACTGAAGGACGCTTGTCACTCTAAAGAGTAGATGCTGCCTTTTATAGTCTTCCATTATTGGGTCTGTATCCATCACTACAAGTTTAAAAATGTAGGTAGTGCAGAATGAGGGTTTACACTTCTGCATTGCAGTGTGATTTTTTCAAAGAGCTTTTTGGTAAAGATTTCTTCTACAGGCAGAACATTTTGTACTGAAAAGCTTAGTGGGGTCTCTAGACTCCTCAGCTGGGACTTTGAGAAGAGCTTAGGAGGTTCTCTCCCAGCATCTGAACTCTGACAGCAGCCTGTCTGGATACTCCATGGATACTTAACACTACCTCTTCCAGAGGAAGACATGTGAAACTCTGTAGTGGATCATACGTCTGCCCTCTCCACAGGGTAGTTTTTCTGGACCTAACACTGGAAATTCTTGATTAGGTAGCTCTCTATAATGGGCCTATTTTTGAACTCTTAAATGACAACTCCTCCATGAAGCTCTCAAATAATACTCCCAAGTTCAACACAGGTTACTGAGAGTAAGGCAAAGTATCCTCAAAATATATTTTTACCCCCTTCTGTCATGTCATCTGGGTGTGGGGTGAGAGAAGGGGCTGAGGTGGTTCCTTATCCTTTGAAAAGGGATGATGAGTTGTGTGAGTGGAAGAAACGAAGAGCTCTGTAGTTTAGGGTAGGTGCTCTGCTGCCCCATCCTAAATCCCAGCTGAGGTTAGGCTCCCTAGGCCTTACAGATCTGCCTTCTATCCCATGTGCCTCAAGCCATCTCCAAGCTATCCTTTTGCTAGCTGGCCCATGACTCCCAGCCTTTTCAGAAAAAAAGGTTTTTCTTTTCAGAAAAGCTGATCTCTGAATTTCAGCTTCTGCCTGAGGAGTAGGACAGCCCTGGCCTTGCTTTCCCAGCCAGTTCCACTTGGGCTGGGGGACTTTCTGCAGAAGTGGGCATTGGATGCGGAGCTGCCTGGCTTATGGGACTCCTGAGTTTGTTGAATATGACTGAAAAAGAAAATGTGGCTGTAAGCATTTTGGTGACCAGTTCAGGACCAGCTGTTGGCTAACTTCCTCCTGTGGATTGCAAAATGCTTTTTGAGGAAATAAGGGAGTAAAAAGCAAAACAGACAAGAAGGTGACTTTGCTAGGTTCAACTGTATATGTGTGGACACTGCACACTTTTGCTTTCTGTTAATGACCATTCTTTCTTTATCCACAGGCAGCTATTCTCTCTCCATAAGAGACTATGATCCACAGCACGGCGATGTTATTAAGCACTACAAAATTAGGAGTCTAGACAATGGAGGATTTTACATCTCTCCAAGAATAACTTTTCCCAACATCAATGATATGATCAAACATTATCAAAGTAAGTTAAGTCAGTTAGTGGATTACTTAATAGAACACAGCCATTATTTCCTGTGAAGGAAAAGATATGCTTTCATGTTTTGTTTCATACCTTTTAATCTTTTTTTTTTCCCCCTTAAATAACCCAAGCATGTGTGTTATCAAAGATAAAGTAAAACTGGTTGCAGCCCAAGTGACATTGTTATCATAATGAGACCTAACACTGCTTGCTCTGTGGCATACCATTGTGAAATATAGAATAGCTTTATAAAACGCCTCATCACGGTTATGATGATCTGAAACTACAGTAAGAATTGACTGCATTGTAAATAAATAAATTCTGTATTTGAAAGTAAATTCGTATTCACAATATTAGCATAAATACATATGGACTCATGAATGACTTCTTGTGGTGTTGGGTGTGGAAATGTTTTTATTTCTCCTATAAAATTGTTTGTTTGTTGTGAATCATGTTTTGAAGGAAGTAAAAGTCCATTGATTTCAAAGAAGGAAAATTGCACCCACATAGAATGCATACACTAATTATGGGGAAAAAAAGGGGGGGAGTGGCAGACAAATTTCTACTTAAGTTTTAGCTACAAAAGTGACTTATAATTCTGTGTAACCTCCTGGTGAATAGCTCCAAAATACATGGGGTTTAGTCTTGTAACTAGGAAGACAGCGAAGATAAAAACCGTAGGACAGAGAATCACATAGTGACTTTTCAAAGCTATGCTGAGGACTTGGCCATGAGGATTCTCTGAGTTGTTAGACATGTGTGGTAATTCTTTGGCACAGCTGGAAAATCTGAAAATTATTCTACATTTGGATTAAAGTTGTAGCTGGCCAGTGTCTGGAGAAAAAAAGCAATGGTGACCTACTTATGCTTGCATGCACATGTGTCTGAAACAATGCTACAAGAAAATTTAATGACAAATTCAGACTACAGGGTCTAAGCCTGATTCCAGTGTGCATCTTCATCAACATACTGTCAGTAAACAGATCTTATATTTTATTTAGTTGATATGAATTGTACTAAAAAAACCTTAATAGTATGATGGTAACCAGATGCATGTGACACTTCTTTATTGAACTTGCCTCTGAATACCAAATTTCAGTTCAGAGTTATATGAAAGCACCAAAAAGATTACATTTTTATCAAAAGTCCTGATTATTTTGAAAATTATTTTGAGCTGGTTAGTGCACACCTGTAATTAAGTAATGTTTGTCTCAAGTCATGAGGCATAGAAATGTAATGGATTTTTTATTTCGTTTTTCCTTTGAAAATCAGAGCAATCAGATGGCTTATGCAGAAAGTTGGAAAAATCTTGTATTAGTCCCAAGCCTCAGAAACCATGGGATAAAGATGCATGGGAGATTCCACGGGAATCCATTAAATTAGTGAAGAAACTCGGAGCTGGTCAGTTTGGAGAAGTCTGGATGGGTAAGTTTACTCCCTTGGGAAGAGTATTTAGATCTGCTGAAAGAAGAATAATGGTGGACATGAGCCTGGTCCAATATGCTTGCAAACCAGTGCAGTCAGGCCCAGAATGTACCTTCTTGTGAGGAGAGATGGGGGAAAGATATCTGATATCACGGAACAAATCCTTTGCTGTCTTTTAAAGGAAAAAAAAAATGAGTCAGCACTGTAATTTAGCACACAGAAGACAGTGAGGGGTTTTTCAGTTGTGTTTTATGGGAGAAGTAGAAGGTTATAGTAAAATACAACTCCTGAGTCTCAAAATCAGGGGACAGCTCAGAACTTTGTTTCAAATCAGAAAGTGGTAAAGAGCCTGAAATAGAAAGAAATAATGTTTTTAAGTGAATTATACATAGAGTTTTCATTGTCTCTTGGTAAAAAAGAGTCTGCAATATAATGCACGGGACTGCCGTACTGGGTGAAAAACAGTTTCATTTCCAAAACAGTTTTATTTCCAAAAGTATTGCCTGCTAGATTACTGCTGAGCAGTATGCCAACTTATGTAATAAGAAAATTAGAGCTTGATCACCTCCTGCCTTGAACTATCATGCAAGTCCCCAATAGCGAAAGTGTCATAAGACTTGCAAGTTGTAAATGTTAATACATACCCAGCAAAACAAATTATAGTGTTAATTATTATAACCGTAATTAGCTCTGTTTACTTTATCTTATTTTCTCAGTTTTGGTGACTTCCTGTGGCAAGGGGCTATGACCACTGTCTAATCACATTCTGCAATAGTATTTAGTCCTTGTGCTTTTGAAATGCTGTCTGTTCAGGGATCTGAGTAGTCTTTTGGGTTCCTTATTGTATGTTCTGTGTGCCATTCATTACTTACACACTCGTTACTAGTTACCTTCTCATTTGAGGTAAACTATACCTTTCTCCTGCAGTCTTCATTACGGTGGGGTTTTTTTCAGGCCAGATCATTGTTTCAAGCATTCCCTGACCCTCCTTTTTGGAGGTTATAGTTAAATAGTAATACAATTACTATGATAATAATAGATCTTTTAAAAAACAAGATTCTATAGGCAGGGCATTTCTGAGCAACTTAAAAGTGTATCCCAAAACTTATTAGAAGACACAAAGCTATGAAGGGGTCTCTGATGACCCACAGGAGTGTGGCAGGCCAGCGGGACTGTCATTGCTTTGAAGAGATGCTCTCATTTAGAAAAGTGAAGCCCAGAATGGTGCTGTTTGAGTGGCAAATTCCACACACAACTACAGTTGTGTGTATCAGAAGGCTCTAATTCAGTCATGGGTGCAATCCTGTGATATAAATAATGTAAAAAAATGCAAGCAACGCATCTCTATAATATAACACAGTATAGTCAAATTGAGCTTTTCATCTGCCTTCTAAAGAAAAAGCTGAAGAAACCCTCTAGCTATGATACGCATGAGTGACAATTTACATACTAGTTAAGACAAGCGTCAGCCATTGTGCAGTTTTTTTTCCTGTCTAGTAAACCAGTGCAAGAAATGTTTAACTGACACTGAAACACTATGAAAGACTCTGTGGCAGAAGGTAATCACCTGCTTGAAACTGTAGGTCATTTTGGGAAGTGACTACTTCTGCACATATGCACACAAAGGCATAAAATTTTAAAAGGGTGTTTCTGCTTCAAGATGTTTCCTCTTGTTTGTGTCATTATTTTAACATCTAAACCAGGCCCAACCCCTGCGTCTGAATTGCTGCACTGTGAGAAAAATTAATGTACTGTGAAAGCGATCGCTGTGTTTCCTCTTCTCTGCTTCCTTTCTGAAGCGAAAGCTGATTTGCATGGTGCAGGTCTTCTGGTCTGAGGAACGTGGTTAATCTTAGAACCAAGGAAGTTCAAGCTGGAAAAGACGTCCTAGGTCAGCTGCGCGGTGCAGGCTATCAGCAAACACTGTATTGTAATGATCAACCAGAGGCATCAGGAGTTATGTGGAGGTATTGAGAAATAACCTCGTTGTTATCTCTCCTGATTAGAGAGCTGGTTGTTATACTCTCTCCTCATATAGAACAAAATTATTTTTTGGCCATGGTGTGAGTCACAGAGAAATATTCTTCCATGGTTTTAATTCCTAAATTAATTTATTCTTGATAAAGATTCTTAGAATTGTGGTCTCAGAGGGAATAGTGTCCCATTCAGAGGAACTGGGCTCTCCAGTAGAGAGATACAGAGCTACTGGAGAGAGTCCAGCAAAGGGCCGTGAAGATGATGAAGGGACTGGAGCATCTGTCACCTGAGGAAAGCCTGAGAGTACTGAGACTATTCAGCCTGAAGAAGAGCAGGCTCAGGGGGAATCTCATCAGTGTACGTAAATACCTGAAGAGAGGGTGCAAAGAAAACGGAGCCAGGCTCTTCTCAGTGGTGCCCAGTGACAGGACCAGAGACAATGGGCACAAACTGGAACACAGAAGGTTCCCTCTGAACATCAAGAAACACTTTTTTCATTGTGTGACTGATCAAGCAGTGGCACAGATTGTCCAGAGAAGTGGTGGAGTCTCCATCCTTGGAGATATTCAGAAGCTGTCTGGACACAGTCCTGGACAATTGGTTTTAGATGGCCCTGCTTGATCAGGGGGGTCAGACCAGATACCCTCCAAAGTTCATGAGTACTCTTTGGGCTTCCAAGTCAACATCTTCCTCTTGCACATTTTGGAGGGAGTTAGCTTGCGCTATGGGAGCAATAAGAAAACACTGGGAACAAAAAGCAAATCTCCCATATCCCTCAAACACTCAGCTCTGCTCCTGTGTGGCTTGTGCAGACTGCGCCACTTACCAGTGGGCAGGTGAATGTCCTCCAACTCTGGAGACTTTCTTTTACGTAGAGAAGACTTGCTATAAAGGACTATCAATTTCCCAGTATTATCTACCCCTGCGAGTGCATTTAATTTCTTTCTTCGTTACAGCTACATGTAATTTTATGCATTTTATAAAGACTTTCTGTTTTTAGGCTACCAAGATAGTGTTTATGTGGTTGTTTTAGGCATCAGCTGTGCTGATATGACAGATGAACACAGCATGGCAGAGTTGTGTTCACATTTTATGGACTGGTTAGAAAGCTGCAGCCTGTGCTTTCTGCCTTCACATTTTAATGGGCTGTCTGGAGATGAGCTAGAGATGGAGCTACTGTTGCATTCCTCTGCTCTTCAGCGGAGTGATGGCTGGAGTTGGTAAAGGAGGATTGATGTGCTGACATGCCATAGGATGCAGAGAAGCTGCTGTTCCTCAGTCTCTTCCCCAGTACCTCCTGCAATCGTAATGGCTTGAGACATTATTTGGCTCCTAGCAGTGTCATGCCTCCGTAGCTCAGAGAAGTTGTTCCCAGTATAATCTTGCAGGGAATTACTGTGAAAGCAGAGGCAGGAGAAAGCTGTATCCTCTAGGCTTGTTCACAGAATTGTTCATCTTCAGTCCCAGGGATCTGGTCAGAAATGGTAGGCTTAACCTTGTTATTGTCTGTAATAAATTCATATCACAGCTTGGCCTGATTAAGCCCATAATTACTCTGATTACCCCTCAGTCTGGGGGCAACCTGGCTGTCCAAGATACTACTCTGTCAAAATAATCATAATCAACTCCAGAATAAATACCTGAACCACTAACATATTTGGAGGATTCTGTTGTACCATGTAGAGAAGAACATGGCTGTCTGTATAAGACACCATCACATTCCTCAGACTTGTGTACCTTTGCATACCTCACATTTAATTTTTAACAGAGGTCTAAACTGCAGAGAGACGTGCTTCCTGCCATGGTATGTAAGGTTTTTTTGACCATGGAGTTCAGTGCATCTGGGCAGCTTCTTTAGTGATGCAATGAACCAGCATAGCACTGCAAGAGCGGGGTCTATGTTTTATGCATTTTTGTTCCTAGTGTGCACTGATATGATGTGAATCAGAATGCTCTGTGGTATTAATAATCCATGAAGAGAATTCTCAAGCAGGGCTAAGAGAAAAGTTAGCAAGCCAAATGGAGCCATTATAGTGTATTTTATTAATGAGACGCATTTTGCTTGCATCTCAGGTGTAAAAAATTCTATCAGTTGGTAACCCCCAAATTACAATATAAGTAATATGCATGTGGGATGTGTATTTTCTTATGCAGCTGTTAGGAAAATCAGAGTAAATCATACTGTAGAAATTCTGTTATTAAAATAAAAAGCACCTAAAAGGAATCGAGAAAACTTACTGGTACATCTCATTAGTATCAGAAATAGAGCTGAATATTACTCGCCAGGAATCTGAATTTCATGTCAGATGTTCCAGATGTAAGCAAGAATTTCATTGCTTACCCATCGTTTTGAACTCATGTCTGGGCAGCAAACTAACTGTATATACATTCGTATCATACGGCAAGGAATACTGTGGCACAGCAAGTGCTGGGATTCATATCTGGTGCCAGGTTCAGTTCAGCCAAGGCAGATGTTAGTTAGTGAAGGGTTCAGAGCCCCAGGTGCTGTGCAAAGCAGGGGTGACACGGTGGTGTAGCCACCCCTTGCCACAGCTCCCTGTGTATCACTGGTATCCTTTTGTGATGCAGATTGAACATTAAATTTGCTGTCACCAGCTGAAACGCCTTGAGGTCACTAATTTTCTCTCGGCCTGCCCAAAGGCTACAGTTTCTTACCTGTGCAGCAGGAGTGTGCCTGCAAAGCAGATGAGCTTTATGGAAGTTCCACAGAGGTTCCCACTGTAATGAAAGTGAACCAACACGAGGACAAGAACTTTGTTGAACTGGGGTGGTACAGATGCATGCTAAAAAGATGATGCTGCCTTCTCCAGATCTGATACGGTCCTCAGCCCAAATCAAGCTAACGCTGGTTTCACTAATAACGGGTGAGCGAGAGAGATGACAAATTCCAGTTTTGCCAAACCGTCAAGGGTCCATTTTTTACAGACACTGTTGTGTGTGCTCATAGAGTTCATGACCACCTTTCCTCAGTGTTTTGGTGTCCCATCCCTCCCAATACCTGATGAAATAAATGAATGTGAGAGAGATCAGGATCAATTATCCCTAGTGCTCTTGTCAGCTCATTTGCTTTGTGTGTTACCACCAGAGGGTCAGGGTAGACCATCTCACCATATGGGTGAGGTGTTGTAGTAATGTAAGGTTTCTGTAGGTAGAACCCTGGAGTGATGGATATGTGAATGTAAAATACTGTTGTGTTGTTAATGTTAAGTGTACTGGTCACAATAGCTTTACAGAAATAATGGTACTAATTAGTATGTACTGTAGAGTATTCAGCAAAGTAGGGGTGGAACTGTTGCTCTGCTTTAGTGTATGGGATGGTATAGTAGAAACAATACAAATAAGCTTTCTGCTTCTTAAGCAGAAAGAAACATATTTGACATTTATTTTTCTGATAGATACAAATTGTATACCTGAGCATTAACAGCAGATTTGACCCGTAGTTGTAATTTCTAATTATTAGATCACTTAAGGACATACCTTGTTATGCTTTGATGTGACCATGTTTGGAAAAATATATTCAATAATCATGCAGGTGAATATTTTGTGACAGATATAGTGGTTTTTCTCAGGGAATGATCCTTCTTTTTAAAAAAAGATGATAGAAAATGCAGTGGTTAGGTTAATCCCGTAAGATCTGAAAATGAGTTCCTTGCTTTACAATTGATTTCTGTCTTAGGATGGTAAATAGTATAAAGAAATTGTGGACTCTGATATAGGTGTATCCATTGTGGTAATACTGTCTGGATTGTTGCTGTATAAGGAAATGAAGCTATTTCTTTGAGTCATGAAAGTTTTACTTCTGAGAAATATTTTTGCAATGCTGAAATGGGTATGGTAGAGGACAAGAGTTACATTATATCCCTCTCTCCTTCTCTCTCTCTTTTTTTCCTTTTATTTCTTTTATTTTTCAAATTAAGTGACTTCTCAAGATAAACTTTAGGGTCAGTGCTTGCTACTCTGTTTTTTTAAATGCTATTTTAACATTTATTTTATGTTTGGAAAACTTTAAAGCAGAAAATAATTCACTGCTTTTTTCTTTACTGTCATTTGCTTTTTATGTAATTAAAATATTACATTAGAAGGTTTGATAAACAGCGAAATGAAACAACCACAGTCTCTTCTGCTCTTGGCATGGGATATGTGATAAGAAGTTATCACGTTTTAAATCTTGCTCTGAGCGCTGGAGGATTGCAGTCCTGGCAGCGTATCTCTGTTGGTCATGAGAACCTTCATTTGACTGCGCTTTCCCGTAATGCTCCCTTTTGAGCACTGAAGGTTACAGGAAGAATTAGAAGCATGAGACTGGCATGCATAAAATGGTTATAATCATGGTATTTAACGATGGTTCAGAATCTTACAAGCAACCCGTGGACAATATTAGATCCTGAGACAATTTATGTGGACATTTGTTAGAACACCTCCTGACTGTTTGAATATTTTATGGGCTACTTGTAAATGAAAACATGCTATGGAGTAAGATAATTTGCTTACTTTTATTTGAGATAACTGATTTCTAAAAATAGGGAATGGGTTATTTTTCACTGCAATGTTGTATCAGTTGCAAAATAAAAAGGAATTCCAGCGTAAATATTTGTGCTCCATCTGGCACTTGCTCTCAGGCTCTTGGCTGTTACTGGAATCCAACTTCACCTGCTTTACAAATTCCTACTAGTGAGGACTTCAAGTGCACTGATCGCATTCCCTCTTTTTAGGTTACTATCACAACAGCACGAAAGTGGCCGTGAAGACTCTGAAGCCTGGAACGATGTCGGTGCAAGCCTTCCTGGAGGAAGCCAACCTCATGAAAACGCTTCAGCATGATAAGCTCGTTCGGCTTTATGCTGTCGTGACCAAAGAAGAACCTATTTATATTATAACAGAATTCATGGCTAAAGGTGAGGACAACATTGGTTCTGCAAGCAATGTTTTAGTAAACTCTTCTGCTTCCCATAAATCAGTCTCCTTTCTTTAAAAAGGAAGGGATGAAAAAGGAAAACTTGGGATTTTAGCATTAGTCTTTTGAATAATCTGATACAAAGTGGAGTCGTTATCCTAGAGGAGGGCTGAGTCACTGCTGCACTTGTGAAAGAAACTATTTTTACAGTTTTCTTAAATGTAGTATTTTTCATTGTTTCAGATGCAGTGCATAACCCCCGAAATAGCTCTGATTCCTTTGAGCTCCCTACCTAAATTTTGTGTCTGGTGTCATAGCAAGGCAATTAAAACAAACATTCAAAATTGCCTTATGTGGCCCTTAAATTGATAAATACATGTGTAATAAGGTGAGTGATGAGTGGCCCTGCAAGAATGGCCGCACTACTAGAAAAGGTCAACCTTTATCAGAACATTACTACTCAAAATAAGTAGAAGTTTCCTTGTCTTGGGCAATAGTTTTTCTTGTTTCGTTCTGTTTTCAAGCAGTTCTGCTGATAACTGCATAAACAAGTGTTGAGCCACTTATTCTTTGTGACTTGGAAAGGATTGATCTGTGTGATTCCTCTAGACAAGTTTCCTGATATTCCCACAGAGTAGGGTATTTATCAAACTCAATATCACTGAGCTTAGGTATGGTCTGGTGGGAGTTTCCTACAGTGAGGAAAATGGCAAAACTTGGATGCCTGACATGGTGACTTGGATGTTACTGTTGTTAAATCACGTAAAGAGGCTGCTTTACTGCAGTCAACTTGAAAATTCATTGAAAAACTTCACTGTAAAAAATTTTATGATCCAGAAAATTTGGAACTTGGCGTGAAATGTTGGTAATAACTGCAATGACTTACTCTTTTTCTGTTGTAACAGGAAGTTTGCTGGATTTTCTGAAGAGTGATGAAGGAAGTAAATTGTTGCTTCCAAAGCTAATTGACTTCTCTGCTCAGGTAAATTTTAAGAAATATGCTCAAAATTATTGGGGTTTATGGTCTGAAGCTTAGACTCAGCAACTTTATCCTAAGGTTATTTTGCATTAAAAAATAATTTAATTTTCAAAGAAGTTTTAGTCTGAGTAAAACAGGTCACTGGAGGGAATAGACAAATCATAGGTCACAGGAGGGAATAGATAAAAGAGGTTTCAAAAGGAATATGTGAAGTTGGGTTTAATTCTTAGATACTGCTGGTGACCTGCTTAGATGGCAGTGGCACGCAGCTGCTTTCCTTGGTGGAAAGGATGCTTTTGATTTGAGCAGCTGTGAGTTGAAAGTGTAAGTACAAGTTTGTGAGTTTGTGCTTATGAGGTTCCTTCTGTGATAATAAATGTGTTATTTTTACTTCTTAAGTTAGGTCAATTGGTCAGACTTCTCTTAACCTCAAGGGACTATCTTTGGTTTCAAATTCTTATGTAAATTGCTGCGAAGTAAATTAAATCTAATCAAATGATGATTCAGGTATCTGATTTATTAACCTAGGTGATTGTTTCAAAATATACAAGTTATCCCATGTCATAAATGAAATCTGCAAAGTGAGACCCCAGAGTGATTTGTGTGTCAAAGCCTGTGTCTGGAGCCCAGTGTTTTGCCTCAGGCACTTACCAGCATTAGATATCCAGGGAGAAAATAAAGTAAAAATTGTGATTTTGCAAGTTGTAATTCATGTTACTAATAGTTAATGAAGGCATTTCTGGTAGGTTATTGTTTCACCAACCTTTTGGGGTTTTCAGTATGCATTAGAGTTTGCAGACTGTTGTACTCTATTAAAACTAACTTGTTACAATTCATGAGGAAAGACGAGAAAGCTTTAAAAAGATTTAATAAAACATTAATGATTTATACCAAAAATTCACTATAAGACTATTATATAATTGTTTTATAGAACTATTGCTATATAAAGAAATATAAGATTAGTTTTGGGAAACATTTACTGAGATGGTGATCAAACACTGGGACAGGCTTCCTAGAGAGGTGGTCGGTGCCCCAAGCCTGTGAGTGTTTAAGATGCATTTGTGCAATGCCCTTAGTGACATGCTTTAACTTTTGGTTAAAGTGGTCTGAAGTGGTTATGCAGTTCGACCAGATGATCATTGAAGGGCTGTTCCAACTGAACTATTCTATTCTATGTTCTATTACATATCAAATATTGTTATAAAGGTGTTCAATATATCAAATACAGATTTTTATGTATCATAGATTCAATGTAGGAGCTGTTTTTACTATAACTGTTGGTCCAGTGTAGCTATAGACTTTCTAATATTTCTGAACTCTTTGGGTAATTTGTCCTTCAGAATTCAGTGGGGCAAAAGCTTTGTAGATGTGGAAAGCTTTCTGGATCCCAGATTGTGGTCTGGAGAGATGAATAACTGGGCAGAAAATAAAAACATGTAGCTTTGAAAATAGTGTGTAAAATTCAAGTGTGAAACGAACATCAATGAGAAGTGATATGAAAGGAGAACCCAGGATGTGGAGAGGAAAGCACATATGGTTTTATGGCAGTCCTTTTTATTAGTTAGGGAGTTAGGGATGTTGTGTTCATTTTAAATGAATATTGTGTTTTCAGAAATGTAAGGCTTAAAAATCTTAATGAACTAGTGAGCAGCTCTAAATGTGTTACAACCTAAGTAAATCACTTCTGAGATGACACGGATCAGCAATTATCACTTACAAAGCTTTGAAGGGCAGGTCACTAGAAAGGGACATCGCTTGTCACACTGTTCTGACAGCAACCTCTCAGAGCCAGTTCCTGCACTTGGCCTCAGAGGCCAGGACCTTGTGCAAGAGGTCCTTCTCTTCACCTGAGATGTAGACTAGCACCAGAAATTTCTGAGAGCGAGCCATGCATTGGGTTGCAGAGTGATCTTAAAAGAATGTTCAGGAAGGCCTCTCTGAGGATTTCTAGCTGCAGCCTAAATAAAACTTTGAAACAGATGCACCAGGATTTTTCTTATTGAAATAATTTGTAGGTTTTTTTAAGCACATATGTAAAGAGCCTGTAACACCACTAGGTAGTAGCAGGATTGTGTGGAATAGTCTTGCAGGCTGCATGTGGTTCTCTGACTCTGACAGCCTGAATATTAACTGATGAGTCTTTATGGTAAAAGACAGACAAAAATGTTTTCAAACTCTATTGGCCTACTACTGACGTAGTGGTAATTTTACTGCAGACAACTACTGATGCTTTTCCAGAATGTAGGCTGTATATAAAGGACAGCATAAAATGCGTCTAGTATTTTTCATATGACTCTGGTTTGTACAAATGGAACACTGATTTATGCTTACAGCAGTGATGTCAACCTCTCTGTACAGCCTAAGGGGAAAGAAATTTGGAGAACTGTTTCAGAAGAGGTTAAAAAAATTTTAAAAGACATAGAAGGAAGCTCGTGGTGAACTACTTAAATAAGATAAGGCGTATTTTTTGCCTTGGTGAACACACTCTTGAGCTTTTCATGACCATCTAATCACACCATTCTGGCAAGGCAGTTTACCAGACTATCCCAGCTTCTCAGAAAGGCTGAAAATGCAAGAAATGATAGCTGAAGATTGGCTTCCCCTTGTGCATCTGCAATGTTGCCTGAGGCTGGCCTGCTCCCAGCCATGCCACACAGCTGCACGCTCATGTGGATGTGAGCCACAAGGCGTCTGTTGCAACACAAATTGCTGAAAGAACAGTGCTCTACTCACTGGCTTCGTAATGTCTTTGCCTTGAACAGTCTTGAATGAAATCTGTATTTCCAAGGGGTGAGACATTCTGATGTTTCAAAATCTGAGCCTGTTTCCCTGCCTGCATGACCAGCGCTGGTGCGGGAGTCAGCAGCATGGCAACCTCATAGGTGGCTTTCACAACAGCCTGGCAGGCATTCGCTGACACAGTTGGCCAGTGGTTCCCCTTCCTGGGAACTTCTGCCCGTCTTACCACTTGCAGGGTAAGCAATTTTCATCTCTCTGGCCATGAGCTGTGCTGCCAAATCTTGCTAATGCAGCAGGCCAAGACCATCTGTGTGGACGTTGCCCATATTCCCTTGGTCATCTCCAGGCAACAGCCTGGCTCCTTCAGCAGTAAAGCGACTGGAAAACTCAGGATTTTACCAGTTGGCTTTCATCTTGCCCCAGACATAATTGACCCGAAGAGCTTCCAATTATTTGTTTCACAGTTCTTATACTTGCTTCTGTTTGATGGGAGCTGCTGAAAATGTATGATGCAAATTCAGTGAACCTTTTGCCTGTGTAAACTCTTCCTGCTTCTTACGCAAACCCTTTATCTGCTGCATAGCACACACATGCGTGGTGGCTGTGGCTAGGAAAATGGTATCATTTGTTACTGAACATACGCACATTGCACCTTTCATACTGGTCAAAGCTTTGTCACAAAACCAGTCTGTCTTCTTTCCTGCGCAGCACTGATACTTTCATTAATTCTTCTATGATCTATAACTTCACTGGCAACTCTTATCCTCTTTTTTTCTGCCTTCTAAGGCTACAAATTAAAATTTATAATAAACTTAGATTAAAAATAATAGATATTTTGGATGCAGTGCTTTAATCTCCCTCTCTTCTGTCCTTTTTAAGGGGAAACAAGAAAGTCCTAAATCAGAATTAATTTTAACTCTTATTTGGCATTGGGAGATTTTTCCTGCAGTCTCGCCATATTCCTTTTCAAATTTCTTTCATTTTTAATGATACTCTCCAATGTTCCAGTGCATAGTTATATATTTTACTTTAATAATCCCCTTTTTTCCCCCGTGGGTCTGCTTTGCTTACATAGCTGCTTGACTGGAGCAAGAGGAATAAGTTCTTGCAGCTTTTCCTGACTTCACCTTTAGGATAAGCACTGCTGCAAACTCAAAATTGGCATTACACTGATATGTCTCTTGAAGATTAAAATGTGACTGTTTCACAACAGTTTTCAATTGCCAGATACAAAGACTCTACTTCCTTTTCATAGGCAGAGTCACCCAAAGTCACACGAACTCTCTTTTTGCAAACTCTGTGATCAAGCAGTGTATTTTAATTATGCATCTGGACATTGTTGAAAGGAACCTGGTTTTGGTTAATCCCAGACCAAAGACAATCTTGTCCAGATCAATAACACATGTTTGCTTCAAACCTTTCAAAACTGCAGGCTATTTTTAGTGAGGCTCTTCCCTAGGAACTGAGAATTAACAAACTTAGGGCACTGAGGACCTCAGGATATGCTCCATTATTTCCTCTGCTTAAAATTCCCCAGCAGGATGCTCCCTCGCACTCTAAGTGTTTTGCACCCATTTCTGGGTCATTTCCAGTCTGGTTTTTGGCCTGCTTTACCTGCTTTGGCAGGAGCATCCCACCGAGCCCTGGGGAGCAGGCGCGACAGTTCAGCCCCACAGGCAGCAGCGATACAGAGGGAATTTGGACTCAAAGATCTTAGGGGTCTTTTCCAACCAAATGATTCTATGATTTCCTAAGTATCTCGCTTACTACTTCATAAGTAAGTAGCTGAGTTTCACCTTTTTTTAAAAAGAGCACAGAGCTGGCCATCCCTCTACGTCAGCTGTGATGTTTCACCAAGGAAGCCTGGGAGCTGTGGCCAAGTGACCTTTTCAGAAAGTGTAGCTCTTCTGTGACAGCAGTGTCCCCTCCCAAGGCACTGGTTTAGTAGGTTTTCCCCTGCCTGCTTCATAGTTCTCTACTGCTTTTGCTGCTTTCTCCAAACATCTTTAGAAGCTACAAAAAATGGGCCAGAAAGTAGGGAACGCGTGTTTACAAAGCAACACTGTTTGCTCTATGCTTTTGTTACCATTTTCTTTCAGGATTTTGACATAGTTTTATACCTATTTGTGAAATAGCCTGCAAGTGTTCCGGAAAGTTAAGCAATTACCCTGTGTTACAGGTAGAGAGAACAGAAACAGGGAGAAAAGAGCGCTGCCAGCTGAAATCACACCCCAAATAGGTGTCAGAGCTGTCAGCAGAACGGTGGCTCTGAGTCATTCATTTCTTGCGTGACTTTTAGCTGAAGCTTTACGGTATGGAGGCTGTCCTGTAGAGTGATTTATTTCTTCCAGGAGCTAGTGAGTTACTTGTCATTCTTACCCTGGATACATAGTTCCTGCTATTCAGAGGTTTGTTGGTTGGTTTTAAAAGGATTTGACTTGGGTATTTCTAGAATCACAGAATCACAGAATCGCTCGGT